GTCATCCAGAGTTGAACAGAGTTGAATTCTTTATGTTTGAGAAGACAGAAATTAGAAAGGTTATATATTTAGAAATTATGTTGCTTGATATTCTGCAGTGATCTGAAAGAGTGAGGCCAGATGAGAACGCCCTAGATAAAAAAAGATGGCAAAGCTTTGAAAGACTGTAAAAACAGCTGAGAAAATCCTGCCCTATTTGAACTGACAGAATGTGCTTAGGAAGAGCTAGCCCGTTCTGATGGTCTCATCCTGTGAAAAGACATAAGCACCTACCTGGAGGAATTCTTACCTGGGCTGATGGTACAGGTCTTTAATCCCAGCTGTTCTGGAGGCTGAGGCAGGAAGATTGTGAGTTCATGGCCTACCTAGGTCCGAGTGTTTGTACATAATGGACTTTGATCGTGTCCACCACCCCCACCGACCTGCCCCCATCTCTTCCTCCTCTAATGCTGCTTTAGTGAACCGGTTTTCTCAGGAGCAGCTGTGATATAATAGGTCCTCCCAGAACCAGCCTCAGAGTTTCCCATTTGCTGCAGCTCCCTGATGCATGCACATAAAGAAGGTAATATTTTCAAAAATAGAATCCCTGAAATAGTTTCTCCTGTTGTAAGATATATGTATTGTTTATTTTATTTTTATTACAGTTTTTATTTCCTGGAACTAGCTTCTGTAGATCAGGCTGGCCTTGGACTCACAGAGAAACCCTATCTCGAAAAAAAGAACAAACAAAAAAAACTCTTGCTGTTCTTCCTGAGGACCTGAGTTTGATTTTCAGTACCCATGTCAGGGGGCTTACAACCACCTGTTACTCTAACTGCAGGGATCTGCACACACGCGTACACATGATTGACAATAATAAAAATCTTGAAAACCAGGTTGGAGAGATATATCATAGGTTAAGAACATTGATTGCTCTTCCAGACATCTGAAGTTCAATTCCCAGCAACTATGTGGTAGCTCACAACCACATATAATAAGATGCTTGCAGGCAGACAGACACTGCAAAATAAATTAATTAATTTTTTAATGGGTCTTCCAAACGTGAAAATAACTGATTGATTTAAAGAACACAGTTTTATTTTTTCTGGTGTCTTTTGGGGAGGAGAGGTTGAGACGGTTTCTTTGGATCCTGTCCTGGAACTCACTGTGTAGGGTTTCTTTGGATCCTGTCCTGGAACTCACTGTGTAGACCAGGCTGGCCTCGAACTCAGAGATTCACCAGCCTCTGCCTTCTAAGTGCTGGGATTAAAGGTGTGCACCACAACCGGCTGCTGGCCTTGAACTTGTGATCCTCCCCCGTGATCCACAAGCCTCAGCCTCCTTCAGCAAATTTTGCTGGCTTGCACTGCCACAACCAGCATGTCTTTAATATTTGCATACGGAATAGTATACATGTGCCCAGAGAGGACAGAAGAGAGTTGGATGTCATGGAGCCCCTGGAACTGGTTCAAGGCAGTTGTGAGCCACCTCATGTGGATGCTGGGAAATGAACTTGGGGTCTCCTAAAAAACAAGAAGTATTTTTGACCATGACTATTTCTCCAGCCTTGTTTCATTTTGTTAAATTACATTTGGGGTATGTGTGTCTGTGTGTGCTAGTGCGTGTGTGTGTGTATGTGTGTGTACAAGTGCACATTTGTATATGATAGGTATTGGGGTGCACAGCACCTAGCTCCACAGAGGCAAGACAGATTTCTCTTTCACTGCTCTATATTTCATGACATGTAAGTCACTGTGACCAAATACCTGACAGTAGCTTGAGGGAGTGTGGTAGTTGAGATGAGAACGGCACCGTGGACTCGTGTGTTTGCCTACTTGGCCTCCAGTTGGTGAACTGCTTGGAAGGATTAGGAGGTGTTGCCTTATTGGAAGAGGTATTAAGACTTTGAAACTATAAGCCCTAGTTTGATGCTTTTGTGTATAAGAGTTGCCTTGGATGCTGGGTGGTGGTGGTGCATCTCTCTGGCCCCAACAAATAGGCAGAAGGCAGGTGGATTTCTATGAGTTTTGAAGCCAGCCAAGGCTACACAGAGAAACCCTGTCTTACAGGGAGGAGTGGGGTGTTGCTCTGGTCATGGTGTCTCTTCACAGCAATAGAACAGTGACTAATTGGTTGTGTTGCTTTAAACACCTGCCAGTAAGGGCTGAGTTACTCCTGTAGCTACTTGTCTCTCTAGCACTTAACGTAGAACTTTTGCTAGGTGTAAAATGATAGTTTTATTATATTTAGTAACTAATGAGATTAAGCATCTCTTCCTGTAGTAGTGGCTTTGTTGTTCATTGTAGTGCCTGTTGACAATGGTCCAGTTTAATATTGGCTATTTTTTATTGATAGGTAAGAGTTTCTAACATATTCTAAATACCAAACTTTTGTTTGTTACATTGTACATAACAAGTATGGAGCCTTTCATTCACTCTAGAGCTTTAGGGCATTAAGAAAAGGTTGGTTTTAATGTAGTTGAATTCACCTGTTGTTGTTTGGACCATGTGTGGGAGAGATAGATAGTTAACAGAGTATTCCTCCTCCTAGCTTGGGACATCCTCTCTCTGCAGCCCAGCTTGGTGTCCCCTTGCAGTCTTCCACTCATGTCTGCCTTCCAGCCTCTGGTCCTATAGTGCCTTCTTGGGGGAAGAAGAAAATTTTTTCTTTCACAGTGATCTTTAGCTGGGGTACTTAGGTTTTTAGAACCTTGGTTGCCTGTTCCTCCTCCCACCGCTCTGTACTGACCTTACCTTCATGTTCTTCAATACATGTATTTGTTATTGGACTTTTTTTTCTGTTCCATGGCCTGATTTGTCTATTTCCCCCTCCTTCCTGTGTATTTATGTGGTTTATGTGTACGTAGTCTTTGGATGTGTACTGATGCTTATGCACATGTATGTAGAAACGAGAGGTCAACTTTGGGCAGCTTCTTATCTCTTCCTCACCTTAGTTTTTGAGTCAGGATTCCTTGCTGAACCTGCAGCTCACTGATAGGCTGGCTATGTAGCAAATCCCAGGGATCCTGGTACTGAGTGTGCACCGCTGCACCCAGTTTTTTCCTGGGTCCTCATGCATCTGCAGTCAGTACTTAACTAAGCCTGCTCCCCAGCACCTAACATTTTTTAAATTATAGTTTATATCCTTTAATGCCTTTGAATACATTTTTATTAATTTGCTTCATAAAGGGTTTCCTGTCTTTGATTAGATTTATTCATAGGCTTCCCCCACCCCAATGGCCTGCCTTTTATTGTGGCCCTAAATACATTCACATTGTTGTCATGACCATTATCCTTCTCCAGAATTTTCCCATCATCCCAAACTGGAGCTCTACCCAGTAGACATATGTTATAAGAGAGGGCCTGCTTCTTTGTCCCGGCTGCCCGGCTAGCTTAGCCCCGAAATAACCACACAGAAACTGTATTAATTAAAACACTGCTTGTCCATTAGCTCTAACTTTTTATTGGCTAACTCTTACATATTAGTTTAACCCATCTCCATTAATCTGTGTATTGCCACATGGCTGTGGCTTACTGGAGATTCTAACCAGCGTCCATCTCAGGCAGAGGATCCATGGCTTCTCTCTGACTCTGCTTTCTTCCTCCCAGAATTCAATTGTTTTCTCCGCTTACCTAAGTCCCGCATTATCAACTACGCTAAGGCAGTTTCTTTATTCATTAACCAATGAAAGCAACACACAAACAGAAGGAACTACACCAGACTACGTTCCTGGTCTCCCTTTTCTTTAGCCCTTGATAACCAATATTCTATTTTTTCTGTGAACTTAACTAATCTAGATAGAATCATAAATTGCTTTAAAAGAATAGTATGCCTTTCTATTTTGGAGTGAAGAAATATCGATATATATTGTTAAACTGCCTTTTCTTTTTTTTTGGGGGGGAGGGGGGTTGAGACTGGGTTTGTCTGTGTAGCCCTGGCTGTCCTGGAACTCACTTTATAGACCAGGCTGGCCTCAAACTTGGAGATCCACCTGCCTCTGCCTCGAGTGCTGGGATGAAGGGCGTGCACCACCACTGCCTTGTGCCTTATCTAACTCACTGGCCTAATACTTCATTTTGAGTTTAGCTATATATGAGCTTTCTACACAAACAAGTTTATCATGTGTTAAATAAAAGGTGTTTTCTTCTATTAAGCCTGCCTGTTGACTTTTCAGTTTAAATTTTTAAGAAGTTTAAACTCTAATCATTTGATTCATTCATAGATCTACTGTCTGCCTCTTGAAGTGCCCCAGCTCCCCTGCCCTCCTTTCTCTCTTTAGGCAAGGTCTCAATCTGTAGCCCTGGCTGGTCTGGAACTCACTATGTAGACCAGGCTGGCCTCACACTCACAGAGGTCTGCCTGCCTCTGTTCCCCATGTGCCACCTTTACCCTCCCTTTGAGCATATGAAGAATTGTAGTGGCAGCTGGGTGGAGGTGGCACATGCCTTAATCCCAGTACCTGGGAGACTGAGGATCGTGAATTCAGTGAGCTTAGACTACATAGTGAAAACCAAAAACTGAAGAATTAATATCTAAGTGTTTGATAATCTGTTTCTGATACAAACTTATAGTCTAGTTATGGTATTTCTTTGTGTGTATTATTGTTTAAAATGTACTTAGTCCTTGGGATTTTATACCTGCCAGGTGTTTGGCATTTCTGAGCCATTTGGCAAAAACTGGGCTGTGATCCTGTAAGAGTGTTTTGTACTTACACCTTTTCTGGGGCCATACGGTACTTTTATTTAAGAGGAGCTTTTACATTTATTGAACTATTTGAAGTTTCCTTCCAGACAGTATCTCTCCATGTAGCCCTGCCTGACCTAAACTCCCTCTTGACAAAGCCATCTTTAAGTGTCCTGCCCTCCTCCTGTCCTTGCTGCCTGAGTGCTGCCACCACAGACACTGGCGGTCATCTTCCTAGGATTGTAAGCTGATCTGAATGAGGCCATTTCCGCGCCACTGGTTCTGCTGTTTCACTGTATTCTAGCTGCTAACTGGAGGTGCTGCTTCTTGTTTTATAGGTGTCAGCTGTGATGCATGTTTAAAAGGAAACTTTCGAGGTCGCAGATACAAGTGTTTAATTTGCTACGATTACGATCTTTGTGCATCTTGTTATGAAAGCGGGGCAACAACAACAAGGCATACAACTGACCACCCGATGCAGTGCATATTAACAAGGGTAGATTTTGGTAAGTTCATAATGAAAATTTTCATTATCATCTAAGGGTTTTATATGGATATGAAAAAGCAAAACAGCCTGAAACTATCCCCATTAGCAAATCCAAGGGTTCAGGTCCATTCAGAATAAAAAAATGTCTTTCTGTCTCTTAGTTCCAATTTGCTTAAGAAACCCTTTGAAAAATTGCCCAACTGGTGAGGAATGAGATAGAGTGCCTCTAGAAACAAGCAGTGACATCAGGCTGACTGCTGTTGCTGATGGCATGCAAGTGCCTTTGAGAGTGCGCTATCAGTAGTCAGGAGGAAAAGCTCTCCGCTTCACACTGTAATTCCTGAGTGAGCCAGCATGCTTGTAGTTGTCTTTTTGATAGAGCTTCCTGATGGGCATGAAGTGCTGTCTCAAGTGGTTTTCATCTGTAGGCCTCAAAAGCTAATGATCTAAGCATTTTTCCTAATATTTATTAGACATGTGTATATTATATATGTTAGATGCATGTTATGTGTATGTATGTATGTATTGGATGCATGTTCTTTATCAGATGGATGATTTGGGAAAGCTTAATCCCTTTCTTTTGTTTTCTTGCTTTCTAGATGCTATATTTTAAAGTCAGAAGTTTTTTTTTTTTTTTTACAGTGCCTAGTTCTTTTTACTTGCTCTGTTCTTCGGTATCATACAAAGGTCACTGGGATATATGTCTTCTGAGGCTTCCAATTGTATCGGCATTTAGCTCTTTTGTGCACTTAAAATTGGTACTTTTTCCTTTTTTGAAACGGGGTCTCACTTGTAGTCAGATTGGCCTCAGCTCACAGAGATCCTCCTGCCTCTGTCTCCCAAGTGCTGGAATTAGAATTAGGTTTTGAACTTGGAGTTGAGAGTCCCTTCATTTTCTATGGGGTATCGGGGTTTTCTGGGTTCATAGAACTATCCATTATTTATGAATCAGCTTTTTTCTGTTCAGAATAAGTTGACCATAACAAGGGTTTATGTTTGACTCACTTGTATGTTTGTATTTATTTTTTTATTTATTGGTTTTTCAAGACAGGGTTTCTCTGTAGCCCTGACTATTCAGGAACTCACTCTGTAGACCAGACTGGGCTCAAACTCAGAGATTTGCCTGCCTCTGCATCTTAAGTGCTGGCATTAAAGGAGTGTGCTATGTATCTCTGCTCATCATAGTTCTGTGATGTTTGCATTTCCAAAGCTTTGTTGAAAGTTTTGAAATTTCTGAGACTTTCACTTTTATTTCTATTCAGACTTGTTCTGAACATTCTTGGTCCCTTGAGTTTTTCTGAGTTTTAGGAACACTATTCAACTTTTTTAAAAGAAACCAACTGGATTTTGATAGTGGTTATGTTGAGCTTATATATTTGTCCAAGGAATATTGTTATTTTGTTACTAAATATAATCTGTGAGCATGAAATATCTTTAGGGTTTTCATATCTTTCTATAGTTATCAGAATATTTCTTTCATACCTCTGAGTATTCTTTGACTCTTAAAATTGATTTTATCTTTGAATTATTCATTGTAAATGCTATAGAAAAACCGTTTTTATATATAAGTTGTGTAGCTTGCTATGTTGCTAAATTAACTTATTATATTAATTTAAGATTAGTTCTAGGGACTGGAGAGATGTCTCAGGGTTAATAGCCCTGCTGCTCTTCCAGAGGTCCTGAGTTTAATTCTCAGCAACCACAAGGTGGCTCACAACCATCTGTAGTGGGAACTGATGCCCTCTTCTGTCATAAAGATGTACCTGCAGATAGAGCACTCATACAGACAAAATAAATAAATCTTTAAAAAAAAAAAAAAAAAAAGATTGGTTCTAGCCCAGTGGATTATTAGGATCCTGTTTTGTTTTTCTTCCTTTCCATTGTATGCCTTTCATTTACTGAAATTAGATCCTTAAGAGAAATACTGAATAGAAGTAGCAAGATTGGAGATGTTGTCCTCTTCGTCAGCTCAGGAAAAGGCATTTAGTGTTTGTTTGCTTGGAGTCTTGTTTTGCTACTGGATGTTTGTTTTGGTCCAGGATCTCACTATTCAACTTTAAGCTGTCTGGATTTGCTTTGTGGCCTGGACTGGCCTTGAATTCAGCTTCCCCTGCCTCTGTCTCTCAGGGGCTGAGATTTTAGGCACACATTACCCTCCTTGGATTTTTTCTTTGTAATTCTCCACGACCACAAATCTACCTTGTAAGTCTTATGCAGACACAAACACACATACACATGTGCACACATGTATATTCATGCATACATGCATGTATGAGTGCTATTTTTAGGATAGTTTAAATTTCTCTTAATTAATATTCTTCCCCGCCCCTCTTCGTTTGGGCAGGATCTTCCTGTTTAGCCCAGAGTGGCTTTGAGCTTTAACTTCTTTCCTTCATTCTCTGCAGTTCTAGGTTAGAATCAGTCGTGAGCCACCATGCCCAGCCCTTCATTCTTTCTTCTCACAGAAGTGAACTTACACTCTTTAAATGGGCTTTCCCCCCCCATGTTAAATCTTTGTAGTAAAGTAGTATAACCTACTAAAGATAACTGATTTTTCTTTTGTTACCTGTGGAGAACAGACTTACTGCTTTGATAGATACAGAGATACTTATAGATTTTTTTCCCACAGACTCTCTGGTTCATTCTTCAGAGAACTGTTTGGACAGTGAATTGTGCATATTCAAGGTGGCATCTACTAAGAACTGGATGTCTAGGGATGCTTTCTGCTCTGAGAACACCATATTCTGTAGACCAATAGTTGCAGCTAACAGTTTGTCTATTTATTGGTCATGGTCATCTTTTTTTTCCAAGTGCTTGCATCCTTGTACATGGTTTACCTTTCTGATTCTTCTGATATTAGTGTTACCACGGGGTATAAAGAAATGAGGAAACCAGGTCATAGTGGCGCACACCTTTAATTCCAGGAGGCAGAGGTAGATGGATCTCTGTGAGTTCAAAGCCAGCCTGGTCTACAAAGTGAGTGCCAGGACAGCTAGGACTTTTAGACAGAGAAACCCTGTCTCAAAAAACCAAATATATTTGAACGCTGCAGCTTCAGATGTAAATGTATAGAGGGCAAAATGTTGTCAGCTTTCCATCACTGTAGTAGATTACCTGAGATGTCACCAGTTTGAAAGACTTATTTCCTTTTCTGACTGTTGAGGTTTTAGCCTGGTTGTTAGACTGTATGGCTTTGGGAGATGGTAAATTAATCCGTTTTAGCTGGAATAGATGGCAGAGATCTCATGAGAAGTGAAAAAAAAAAAAAAAAAACAGAAAGGGGACTAGGTCCCAGTATTCTCTTTAAGAGCACATTCCCAGTGATTTAACTTTTTTTTTTTTAAATTAGTTTCTTTAAGGCTCTGCCACTTCCCCAGGCGTACCACAGGCTAGGGACAAAACCCTAGCTTTGAGGGAACACTTGAAACTGTTGGTGAGAGGGAAATTGTTTGCTCCATTTCCTCTTACTTGATTTGAGACAAGATTTTGGAAGAGTGTGCTGAGTCCCACATGGAAATAAAGGTTTTATAAATGTTAACAGTTATTTGAAACCAGGCTTCCCACTGTAATCTTATACTCCTAAAAAAATTTTAAGCTCCTCATCTACACTCTTTTAATCCCAGAAGAAGCAGACAGATTGGTCAGTTCCAGGCCAACCAAGGTTACACCATGAGATCCTGCCTCAATTAATTTTAGCTGAGCAGGGGTGGTGCATGCATTTAATCTCAGGAGGCAGAGGCAGGCAGATCTCTGTGAGTTCAAGGCCAGCCTGGTCTACAGAGTGAATTCTAGGACAGGCTCCAAAGCTACAGAGAAACTCTGCCTTGAAAAACCAAAACTTAATTTTAAAGAGCAAACAAAACCTCCCCTAACAAGAGCGTGGGGGCTATTGGTATTCAGGCCACGCCTTTCCTTCACACTGTCGTAGTTCTGTATTTGAGAAGAAGCGTGGGTATTTCTCAATTCAATTCCATTTTGTTTTTCAGATTTGTACTATGGTGGGGAAGCTTTCTCTGTAGAGCAGCCACAGTCTTTTACTTGTCCCTATTGTGGAAAAATGGGCTACACGGAAACATCTCTTCAAGAACATGTTACTTCTGAACATGCAGAAACATCAACAGAAGTGGTAGGTGGCACAGTTGCATGTTATTCCTGCACTGCTCACTAGGTCCTGTCGCCCACCTCTTAGGATGATGAACTTCTAGTACAGTAATAGCAGTTGCCTTCAGGAGCCCTAGGATGCTGCACTTCTCAAGGTAATGTAGGTGCCTCGTCACAGGTAGCAGGGGAAGGCTGAAAGGACCCAGCCGGCTCTCACACGTCTGTAAAGTGTTCTTGTTCGTGCTGTATGCTTAATTGTTCTTGCATAAGGAATTTTTCTCGGGGAAACTGTAAATCTTTGGTTGTGTCCTAATCAGTCCTCCCCTGCAGTCCTGGGCTTGGCACCACTGGCCTTCCTTAGTTCTCATCAGCTGGCATCTCTTGAGTCTGGCTTAAAACTCAGTGGTTCCTAGTTCTTCCTTCCTGATTTTCCCCTAAATCAGTGACTAAAAGCAAAAAGACTTAGGATAAAATATGAAGTCTTTTTTTTAAAATTTTATTATTTCTTAAGGTTATTTATTTATTATGTATTCAGTGTTCTGCCTACATGTATGCCTGCAGGCCATTACAGATGGTTATGAGCCACCATGTGATTGCTGGGAATTGAACTCAGGACCTTTGGAAGAGCAGGCAAAGCTCTTAACTACTGAGCCATCTCTCCAGCCTCAAAATATGAAGTCTTAACTTGAAATTTTTCTAGACTTTTTTTTTTTTACCTCACATCTAACTTTAAGCAATGGTAAGTAAATATACCCAAGAATCTCTACAGGAACAAGTTTCATTCAAGACGCCGCTTTACAGAGAAGACAGATGAAGGGAGATTAGAGAATGATGCAAAAGGAAGGGAAGGGATGTGATACCATAGGTGGAAGTGAGCTAAGAGCAGACCAAGGGCAAGTCTGTGTGCAGCCAAGCTCCTGATTTTGGAGAATTTGCATACACATCAAATACTAATTCTCTGGACATCCTCACAACAGATAAAGTTCAAAGAAACGAAGTAGTACACTCAAGGGCATGCAAGTATTTAAACTTGGCCAGAGGCCTCTGCTGCAGGCTGTCCTTCCCATGGATACTGCCAGTTTGTGCTTCAAATTTCCATGAGATTTAGAGTCTGAGAGTACACCAAGGGGAACCCAGAGCGCTGTACCACATTGTTTGTTCTGGTTGGTTCTTTTTTTGTCAGATAACTTTGCTTCCTCTTGTGTCATCTTAGGCACAGCAGAGAGAGTCCTGACTCAGTCTGTCCCCATCCTAACTGCTGTGGAAAATTAGTGGTTGTTTTCTGTTTTACTATTGAGTTTGGGTCTTTTTATTTAACTAGATGCACTGAATTCCTTATGGAAAACTAGATATCCCAAAAGGTGTTTTCAAGCCAGCAGGCTCTAGTGTTCTTTCACTTCTTCAATGGACAATTTAACTACACAGTTTTCCACATCCAGAATCAGATAATCCAGGGGAGAAGCAAGTCCTTCCCTTGACTTACTCATCTTCATAAATGAAAACTCAAGTGTAAGCAGGCTCGTCTATCAGTTCTTTGAAAAGCAGCTCTTCAGAGTTGTTTACCCTCATCCTTTCTGATTCATGGTGTGAATGCCCTCCACAGGTTTCATCAGTCCTTGACCTACGCTAGACTCCCAAGTGTTCAGTGCATAGCCCCAGGCAGGCCTCACCATTCTAGTTTACACACTTGTTTTATGGACTGTATTTGAAGGCTCTCTCCTTCCTTAGCCCTTAGTTTTTGCATGAATATCAACTTTCACTGTCATAGTCAGGCCCCAGACACTTCAAATGAAACATGGCAAGCAGACAAGGACTTCTGCTGTGAAGATGGGGGCAGTGACTGTCTGGGTCACTATGTGGACTAGTGCCATTCACTGCAGGCCTCTCTCCACAGGCATGGCTTGTACTCCTCTATTGTATCAGCTGTAAATGAGTGCGCACATCACCTCTTACCACAGTGTTTTGTTGTGAACCAAACCTTTTGTTTTAATGTTTATTGATAGATTTTAGGGGAAGGGTAGGAGCTGGTTCCCTCCATTATTGTATGTGCTCTGAGTATTAAATTGAGTGAAGGTCTTCAGGCTTGACAGAGAGTGCCTTGACCCGCTGAGCCCCAAACCAGATTATTTTTAAAGTGAATCGTGAATTTCAAGAGAAAATCCTTTCATTTTGATAGATAGTGTTAGTGTTTTCTTTTTCTAACTGTCCAATTCATTATTTTACTTTTACTACAGAATTAACTTGGTGTGTCCTCTAGGCCAATTCCTACTTTACTATAGGACTTACCTGCTTTCGAATACTCAGCATCTCTGTGGAGTATTGTGGTGCAAGAGGCTCTGTCATTGTAAGCAGTTTCTTTGGTAAACGCTCACAGAGTTGAAGTGGCTGGGAAGAGTCTGCTGAAGCCAGAATTGGAAGTAGCTTTGGAGTCCTTTATTTTTTTATTCTGACTTTTTCCCTCCAGTCTGGGACTCTGTGTTAAAAAACTAGCCCTTTGCCTTCTTAAGATTCATTTTAAGGTTAAGAAAGTTTAATTTTGAGTGTACCGAGAACCCTTTAAAACCAAGTCTCTTGGAGTTAAGTATAATGACTCTTCATGATCATGATAACAGATTTAAAACCTAGCTTCAGTGCACATAGATGTCATGGTGTGTGGAGCTCTGCATGATGAACTTTCCAGTCAGCATGGACTGTGAGGGTACCTACACGTACATACACACAAATAATAACTTTTTTAAAAAGTCAGTAGGGTGGAGAGAGAGATGATGGCTCAGCGCTTAAGAGCACTGGCTACTCTTCCAGAGGACCCAGGTTCAATTCCCAGAATACACACAGCAACTCAGAGCTATCTGTAACTCCAGTTCCAGGGAATCTGACACCTTCTCACCAAGGCACATAAAATAAATTGAAATAAATTATTTTTTTAAAAATGCAATAAAGAACACATATTACTTTAGCCCTGTTGTCTCAAGAAACTGCCTATTTTGAATTTGCTCTCCCCAGACATAGACTTGGCTTAGTTGACCTGTTGAGAGGGCAGTAAAAGAAGTAGTCAAGGGGAGCTTTTGACTTAGGGGAGGCTTTGAAAATATGATGTGGTTTTGAAAAGAATTTGAAGGAGACAGAATAATTCAGACAACACCAAGATGCATTGTTGAGAAGAAAATAGCAAATAGTGATACATCTCACTGGGAAATAGAATTGGATCCTACAGTGCGACCAGGTAGCAGTGAACCTTCACAGCCAGGAAGCTGTCCCCCTGGTTCTATGGGGACATTTCAGTTCCTCTGTAGAAAAATGACATCTTCTCATTTTCATGCCACTGTGCTTGTGCTGAGAAACAAAGGGCACTGTCTGTGTGACCGTGTTTCCAGTGTGATGGTTGCCAGAGGAAGGGTGTACCAGGAAGTAACGGAAGAGAGTAAGTGATGTGGAGAAATGGTGCTCTTCTGAACAGACCTTTTCAGAAGGAGAAAGTTTTCCATGGCCGAGTTTAATCAAATATGGAGTTCAGTTCAGGTATTTTCTCAAGAAATGCCCATTGCTAGAGCAGTATTGGCACATGTTGTCTGCGACTGGGTGTGACTAAGTGGCTCCCATGTACCAAGTCACCACAACCAGAAAGGAAGCAGTAGTGTTTCCAAGAATTCCAGTCTAGGGGCCATTTTCAAGTAGTTTGTCTGAGAATGGTAAGAGGGTGCCTTCTTGCCCAGCTCCCAGCGTGTGCTCCATCTCCCCATCCTGCTGCAGCCTGCTTCAGAGGAAGCCACATTTATGCTGGGTCACATAGGCAGTTTAAAAATGTTTAGTATTTCTTTGTGTGTGCATGGTGTGTTGTATGGAGGGAGGTCGGAGGGCAGCTTTGGAGTTGTTCTCTCATTTCACATTTGTTCTGGGGATCCAGCTCAGGTTGCCAGTCTTGTGCAACAAAAACTTTACCCACTGAGCTATCTCACCAGCCCCAGATAGGCAATTTTTTTAAAAATAGATAGCACTCAGGAGGCAGAGGCAGGCGGATCTCTGTGAGTTCGAGGCCAGCCCTGGTCTACAAGAGCTAGTTCTAGGACAGGAACCAAAAAGCTACGGAGAAACCCTGTCTCGAAAAATCAAAAAAAAATAGATTTTCTATTTAAAAATGAATAAGAAATTTATTTCCTTCCTTTTGTTTGGTTTGGTTTTGGTTTTTCAAGACAGGGTTTCTCCATATAACAGCCCTGGCTGTCCTGGAATTCACCCTATAGACCAGGCTGGCCTACAGAGGTCTTCCTTTCTATAAACTCTCCACCCTCCCCCCCGTGCTGGGGCTAAATGTGTGTACTACTTACTATGCATTTGAAGAAATTCCTTATGAAGGCTGAGAGGAAACACATATTTTTTTGAGAATAGGTTTTTGCTACCTCAAAACTCATAGGTAAGTCACCAGTGAGCCCAGATATTCAGCTTTCTCCACCTCCCAGCACTAGAATTACAAGCATGTGCCCAGCATGGGCTCTTGGGATTAAACTCAGATCCTGTGATTGGAAAGCAGGCACTTTACTGACTTGCTGTCTTCTCAGGCCCCTACACTACCTACTTTAGGTGTTTCCAAAGGGCAGAGAGCCTGTGTTGGGGGAGGGCGACTCCTACATTCAGTAGCAGCATACTATCTGCATGTGGAACAATGACTTTGAAAGTTCATTGAACAGCATGTGTTGAGATGTGCACCAATTGGTTACTTGTTGGTGATCATGCCAGAGACCACATAGAAACAGCAGTCTTTGTGAGGCCTTACTTCCTTTGGTAAAGGCTCTCAAGAGGGCACAGATAAAAAGCAGAATGGACAAGAGGGTGACAAGCTAAACCAGAAGAAAATAACCCTAACAATAGCAGAGACAGAAAGAATAGCAAGGATATTTGTGATGAGAGTGGTTTGGATTTTATCAAGAACGTTTGGATTTTTCCAAGGAGATAGAAGTTTTAAATACCACAGTTTGTTTGAGCTGTTATTTGCCAAACTTACCCAACCATAAGACCTGGGATTCTTGTTCAGAAACACAGGTCTACATCTTCCCAATCTTTCTCAAATGCCTAGGGAAAAAGCATTTTCAACAAGTACTCCAGGTGTAGTAGGAGCAGCCGGCCGCTTCCCACCTCCCAGCTCCCGGCCACCAGCTAGCTTTACCCAAAATAATTAAATGGAAACTGTATTCTTTTAAACACTGCCTGGCCCATTCGTTTCAGCCTCTTTTGGCTAATTCTCACATCTTGCTTTAACCCATATTTAGTAATCTGTGTAGCACCCACAAGGTGGTAGCTTACCGGGAAATATCTTAACCTGCGTCCATCTTGGAGAAGAGAGCTATAGCGTCTGCCTCACTTCCTCCCAGCATCCTGTTCTGTTTACTCTGCCTACCTAATTTTCTGTCCTATCAAAGGGCCAAGGCAGTTTCTTTATTAACCAATGAAAGTAACACATAGACAGATGACCCTCCTCCATCAATCCAGGTGATTTATATTCTTAGCCAAATTTAGGAAACACCAATTTAAGCCAATTCAGTAAGTTTTATTGTTAACAAGTTGTTACAATTTTAAACTAATGTGTTATGGAATTTTCATGTATGAATAATAGAAAGTACTATGCTATGTGGCAATGGGAGTATGATAAATATTCATGTTGACAAGCTGTCACATGTTAGAATGAATGGCTTAGCCTTTGTGTAGAATTTCCCCATATTGTGAATGAATTAAGTTCCATAATGGAGAAGACCCATTCAAAACGAGCAGTGTTTATGCTCCTGACAGCCACCTCTGGCTCCCTCCTCCAACTCCTACCCACTCCATTCCACCCCCTTTCTCTTTCTCTCACCCTGTTTTGCTTGTATTTTCCTTTCTTCCTCTTATTTCTTCCTTTACGCCTCAGAAAGTGCAGTTCTACATGACCCTAAGGCCTCAGGCATGCTTAGAGTTTGCTGAGTGTAAAGTGCATAGCAGAACAGATGCCAGGCCTCTGTTCCATTAGCTCCAAAGCTTGATTTTCTTTTCCAGTTCTCACTTGTGTTAACTTACAGTGGCCCTAACTAGACAATATTTCCTACTTGGTTCTAAATCTGATCTCTTGATTTTCTGTGCCAGCTTCCAAGCCAAATGACCCTTCCTAGTAAAGGCCTCATCCTCAGTAACTCTTTATCCCAGTCTGTGAGTCAGATGTTTTCAGTTACTTCTCCATGAGTACCTTTAGCCCAGGGGCTCAGTATCATAGCTGCAATAAACCCAAAGATTTTGAGCATAAAACTAAATACACAGTTGTGGGATCATGGTTTTCTTGTTTTGCATCCCTATCCCAATGGTGCTTTCTAGTTTGTAGATTGTCTAATTGGTACACTCTTAGTATATTCAATATTTACTGCCCATTCTTTTTCCCCTTGTGGGAATGTACATTTTCAGAGGAGACTTCTATCTAACAATAGATACTTAAATATGCTTAAAAGTCCTGAAGCTTCTCCAGCTGTCTTAGTGTAGTTCGTGTCATGGGTTTTATCCAAGGCTAATTCAGCTGCTGAATGAAGTTCCAAACCTCTGCTTGTTGTTTAATTTTTAAATAACTGGAATGTGTTGGGGCTGGAAAAATGGCTCAACAGTTGAGTTCTTGCTGCTCTTCCAGAGACTCCAGGTTCAGGATCTGATGTCCTCTTCTGGCCTCTGCAAGAACCCACACAAGCAGGGCAGGCACACATACACACATGCGCAAGCACAATAGAAAATAAATGTTAAAAAAAAAAACGTAGGCTAGGATTCTTGCTTTAAAAAACATAAACCATTATAAACTTTGAAAAAGTTTTATGATATCAGAGTGAAGCAATTCAGAAAGCAAAGACGAGAGAGTTACTGCAAGTTCAAGGCCAGCCAGGGTACCTAGAAGGTCTAAGACTATCTAGGTGAGACAGAAGCACTTAGCTAAGGGAGCAGATCCCTGCTAGGACTACCAGAATACAGAATGGCACCAAGTGACCAAATTTCTGCTGAACACTTCACAGTTCATAGACGCAAGAGCAGATGCCACAGCTTTTCTCTTCAAGAGAAAAGTCCTTTGTAAAAAGGACTCATAGTCTACTGGCTTCTCTCACTTGCCCTTGGGCACATTCTGTCATGGCCTTTCTAATCTCTTTGCAGGTCTCTTCCTTCTGCCTCCTTGTTTTCTCTTGTGAGCATCTTTAGATTTTCTTAGTTACTTTCAGACTCAAATAGTAACCAGGACAGCCAGCTGGGCATTAGAGACTGGCTATCAAAGTCGGGCAGACTGGGCTTTTGTTCTAGTCACAGAAGGTGAGAGTTGTATTTGCTTGGCTCTAGATGGCCCTTTGGTCCCAGCATAGACTTCTCACACACTGTAAGCAGGCTTCACAGTCACCGAGGGCACATGTGCTGGTGAGGTGATTGGTGCACCACTAGAGAAGCACACACCTCACTTCCCTCTCTGTCAGGCCTTTCTTGCCTCTTGTTAAGACTTGGAAACTTCTCCTACTTCAGGGATCAGAACAGCTTGAATTAGACCATCATCTGGAAGATAGCAGCCTTTCCTTAATAGTTTCTTCCTCTTTCTATCTTTTATTCATCCTACTCCTTATTCACTAATTGGGATAAAGCTATTTCAAAGGAGTTGTCCCAGGAATTGGTTACAGATTCTCTTATATTTTGGTTGTGAGCCTAGCCTTTAACAGCTGAGCCATCTCTCCAGCCCAAGTTACAGATTCTCAACTGCTGATTCTGCCCCTCTCGAAGTTGTAGCCCCAAAACAAAACCACTCCTTTCTGTCCTCTCGCCCCCATTTCTAGCTCTTCTCTGGACACTGACCAAAATTCTAAATACCTTCCCCTGGCACTCATCCCTCTTCTGTGAGCATTCCCCACACCATGTGCAGCTGCTTACTGACCTGGTTGCTGAACACGCCTGCTTTCTTGAACCCTAGCTCTAAAGGCATGGCTCCTCCTCTTCTCCATTGCCCCTCCCCACTGCCGCCAAGATCACCTGCTTGCCTGCCCTGTGGTTTCTCTCTCAAACCAATAAGACGGTCCTCAAGCTTTAGGGGGAGGGAGACTCCTCCCAGCTGTCGCCTCTACCTGTGTGCATATTGCTTTATTCTTGCTTGTAACTCTGTCTCTTACCATCATACAGCCCATCCTTCTGGGAAATAATATTCTAGGACAAGCTTCTCTCCCTCCTTTGCCTTGAAGTTGTTTGAGAAATTGGCGGTGCATGTTTGTGCATAATCCCATTATCCACCTTATTCTATACAAAGTCTGTAGCTATTGCATGGCTCCTTTTTTTCCCTTTTTTCTTTGTTTATTTTTGGGTTTGGTTTTTGGTTTTCCGAGAGTAGGTTTGGAACCTGTCCTGGAACTCACTCTGTAGATCAGGCTGACCTCAAGCTCATAGAGATCCATCTGTCTCTGCTTCCCGAGTGCTGGGATTAAAGGCCTGCACCACCACCACCCAACTCCCTTTTCTTCCTTTTAAGACAAGATCACTCACTGGCCTGGAACTTGGTGAATAGACTAGACTCGCTGTTCAGGGAATCCCAAGGATCCTTCCATCTCTGTGTCCCCAGTTCTCAGCTACATTTAGTCCTCCTGGTTGAAGACTGACCCTTAGGACCACCTTGCTTTTGGAGACATGTGCCTTAACTTATGTCTGGGTAACCGCTCCTGCTGTCCTGGAACTCAGAGTTCCTCCTGCTTCTGCCTCTGCCTCCTGAGTGCTGGGATTAAAGGCATGCACTGCCATCACCCAGATAAAATAATTTTTTTAAAGGTAGAAAAAAATTATCAAACCCATTTTGTAAGACTTCTAGAATGTCATTGGTTACCAAGGAAGGACAAAACTTTGAAAAGTTGAAGAATGTGAAAGGTACTTTATATGTTTTTATTTTGTACCAAATTTCAAAAGACAAATACTACAGTGGCAGATACTGAAAGTACAAATTACCATTCAAGGCTGAATTTAGGTAAAAATGTTTATTTTTAAAGTTTTGAACAGAAACTGTTGGCTAAGCCATGCAAGTGTGTATCAGCCCTACTGATAGAAGATTGATCAGACCCTGAGCTGTGGCACTGCAGTTGAGTGACTACAGTGGCCCTTCCAGTTGAGTCTTGATCGCTAGCAATGTCTCCCAGCAACCGTGTAATGACCTTCTCGCCTTATTTCATTACAGATTTGTCCGATATGTGCAGCGTTACCTGGAGGCGATCCTAATCATGTCACAGATGACTTCGCAGCTCATCTGACACTTGAACACAGAGCCCCTAGAGATTTAATATCCTTCCAGAAGGTGGCATGTGAGGGCTTGTTGGTGATGTTGGTAGTTTGATTGTTTTTAAGAATCGTATTCTCAGAGAAAAAAAAAAACCTAATCTTCAAGTTATTTTTATTTACTTACTTGACCTTTTCATAAAAGCGACCCTTTTTTTTTTTTTTTTTTTTAAACCGGGCAGTGATGGCACAATCCTTTAATCCCAGCACTTCGGAGGCAGAGGCAGGCAGATCTCTGAGTTTGAGGCCAGCCTGGTCTACAGAGCTAGTTCCAGGATAGGCTCCAAAGCTACAGAGAAACCTTGTCTCAACCCCCCCGCCCCCCCCAAAAAAAGAAAAAGTGACTTTTGTAGTCTCATTCTTCGGCTTTCATGTTATAATTTGTCTTCTAAATCTGTCATCCACTAGACTTCTATTCGCATTCAAAGTGCCTCACCTTTCTGTCTGCCAGACTTTCCTTCCCATTCCATAGTCCAGGCTTGGGCTTACTGGGGAGCAAACTGGTGGTAGTTGTTTCCATCTGTAGCTCTGATTCTTGCTCACAGTTGCCAGTTTCCTAATTGGAGATGCAACTTCTTAGGGGAAGGTGGACATTAACAGAAAGATGAAGAAGATGGAACAAACCTGAGAAATTAGAAGCCTGAGCCAGATTAGAGATTAGCAATAAATGGACAGTAGAAGCATTGGGACCTCCCCACTGTGTGCAGAACACACCAAAATCAGAGGTCTTTGTAGAACTGGTTGACCTCTGACTCACAGATCCACCTGCCTCTGCTTCCTGAAGCTCTGAGATTTAAAGCATGTGCCTTCACACCCACCAGATTTTTTTTTAAGTAAGAGTGAAAAAATTGGAGCTAGAAATGTGGCTCAGTAGTTAAGAGCACTAGCTAGCTACTCTTAGTGGACTCGGGTTCAATTTCCAGCATCCACATGGGAGCCTACAACCATCTGTTACTGTCGACCTCCATACCATAGGCAAGAGGCATGCACATGTACACAGACATCCATGCAGGCAAAACACCCATACATACATGAATTCCCTCCCCAGCCCCTACCCCTGAGACACGGTTTCTCTGTGTAACTGCCCTTGCTGTCCTGGACTTTGTAGACCAGGCTGGCCTTGAACTCAGAGTTCCACCTGCTTCTGCCTCTACCTCCTGAGTGCTGGGATTAAAGGCATACACCACCATCACCCAGCTAAAATAAAACTTTTTTAATGGTGGGGGAAAAATATCAAACCTATTTTTTAAGCCTTCTAGAATGCCTTTGGTTACCAAGGAAAGACAAGATTTTGAAAAGTGGAAGAATGTGAAAGGTACTTCATATTTTTTTTTAATTTTTTTACCAAATTTCAAAAGACAAATACTGCAGTGGCAGGTACTGAAAACACAAGGAGTTTTCAGATGCCTCCAGCATTGTGATGTTCTGGTTTTTACCACCAGTGTCTAGAGTGACTGGACAGCAGTCATTTCCTCACCGTCAATGGACTTCTTCCTAAAATTACCATTCCCACCTAACAACCTCTTAGGAGTGGCACTATCGATAGATGAACTTCTGTAGACCCCAGGCTCATCCCAAGGGCCAGGAGACCCTGTGCATTGAACTGCCTTAGGCAGGGCTGCTCACCAGGTCCTTAAATGACTCCAGAACTAACAGCCAAGAAGCCAGCAAGGAAATTGCCATTATAAAGTTGTTGCTTGCCTCTGGAAATACAAGATTGTTGATTGGTTTTTCGAGACAGAGTTTTTCTCAAACTCAATCTGTACACCAGGCTGGCCTTGAACTCACAAAGATCCTCTATGGTGCTGGGATTAAAGGCTGGAGCCACTACTGTCTAGGTTTGGTTTGGTTTGTCTTTTTTTTTTTTTTGACAGCTTTTTGCTACATATGACCTTATGTTTAACTCTCATTCAACTCTTGAGAAGCCTGAGGCTTCTAGAGTCTGCTTGAAGAGTGTCGTGTTAATCTGTATGTTTAATGGTACACCAGTATTTTCTGTTGAGCAGCAGCACTGGGAATAAGTTGACAGAGATTAACGCTGACATAGAAACTAGCTTTCATCTACAGAATTTAGATTATTCAACTTGTTTTTTATTGTAGAAGATGTGTTTCACGAGCTGTTTACTGATAGATAAAAGGAGAGATGGCTCAGAGGTTAAGAGCACTGGCTGCTCTTCCAGAGGTCCTGAGTTCAATTCCCAGCAACCACATGGTGGCTCACAGCCATCTATAATGAGATCTGGTGCCCTCTTCTGGCATGCAAGCATGTATGGAAGGAATTTGTATACATAATAAATAAATAAATCTTTAAAAAAAAAAAAAAAAAGATCGAGTTAGGAATTTGACCAAAAGTGTTTCTTTTGACCTTGTTCTGGCAGTGTTCAGGTCTAGAACCTGGGAGAAAGTTAATGGCTTTCAGCACACACGAAATTCATACGTTGCTTTTTTCTATTTGATTGTATTTGTCTTTTTTTTTTTTTTTTTTTTTACTCCCTTGTCTTCCTGCTTTAGCCTCCTAAGAGTTAGGGTTATAGGCATGTACTACCATGCCACATTTATACCTGTTGCTTTATATTTGAGTATCTTTTTTTAGGGTTAACAGGCCTCATAGAGTTGAAACTTTTATATTCTAAGATAAAGGTGCTATTTTAAACTGCTTACAGTTTAGGAATTCCCAGCTAGCAAGAGCTCAAATGTTTGTTGTCTCTTCTTTTTGTAAAATATTCTTTCCTTAACTGTTGAGTTACGATGAATCGAGTGGTGTTCGGCATGTACGTAGAATGTTTCACCCCGGCCGGGGGCTGGGAGGCCCCCGTGCGCGTAGATCAAACATGCACTTTACTAGCAGCTCCACTGGCGGGCTCTCCTCCTCACAGAGCTCCTACTCTCCCAGCAGTAGAGAAGCCATGGATCCTATAGCTGGTAAGTTGTTTCCACTTCTTAGTGGCAAGGGCAGGGCGTGGGGAGCTCCTTTAGAGATGTTTTGTGTGGTGTGTGTTCTACTTTAGCACTTGGTCCTGCGATTGCATCCCTCCAAATATTTAAAAGTCTGACCTTTGTAAGTGGGTGGTGTAAGAGAGTCCATGTGTTACTGCCTTTCTCTAAGAGGTTAGGGGAGAAAATGACACAGAAGAAGGTCTCTAGGAAAGATTTCAAGAGTGAAGAAGACCTCCAGAATTCCATCTTAAGGACCAAGGAACTCAGTTGCCTCTTCTTGAAGGAAAGTAGGAATGAGTATCCTAGTTTAAGACCTTTATTGTTGTAGAACGTACTAAAAGATGATGCTGCAACAATATGAGCAGCTCCACCAAAACAAGAGTCTGAGTTGAATAGACCAGAGTCAAGCTCTGCGGGTGGGGAGGATTGGCCTTGCAGAACAATGACAAGTGTTCTGGAACAGCAGCATCCAAGGATACTAGCAAGGCAGAAGCCAGAATGTAAGGCCACGCTTAGAAATGCTCTGGGATTTCACCCTTGTAATTCCTCTGTTAAATGATCAGAGATGAGTGGATGCTGATGACGGATACTGGACCCTGTTCTGAGAGCTGGAACTAGAGTAAACAGAGGCTTGACCCTGAGTTCATGCTGCTTCAGTTAAGAGGTCTCGGTTTGATCGCACTTGTAGGTGGATCTTCAGTCTAAATAAGTAGTGTAGGTGTACTTTATGTAATAATGTTCTCCTAAGTTCTGCTTAAAGCAGGCATAATTGTATGTTGGAATTGGGTCCCTGGGTCATGAGTATGTTCTACTGTTCACAGCACTTGATTTTCTTCACTGAAAGAGTGACACGTAGCTCTTGGTTTTCCTGAGTCAAGTTGATCAGTTGTCTATATTTCCATTGGCAGAGCTGTTATCTCAGTTATCAGGAGTGAGACGTTCTGCAGGAGGACAGCTTAACTCTTCAGGCCCTTCCGCTTCTCAGTTGCAACAATTGCAGATGCAGCTGCAACTTGAGCGGCAGCATGCGCAGGCAGCACGGCAACAACTGGAGACAGCTCGCAACGCAAGCCGGCGCACTAACACAAGCAGCGTCACCACTACAATCACACAGTCCACGGCCACAGCCAACACAGCCAACACGGAGAACAGCCAGCAGGCTCTCCAGAACTCCCAGTTCCTATTAACAAGGTATTTCTTTACTGTCATAGATGGGTTGGAGAAATAAGGTTTTGTTAGCACTGTCCAGTCTAGTAAGCTGTTCCTTTTTATGTATATAAATACATCTGCTTAAAAACTCTACCTTTGGGGGCTGGAGAGATGGCTCAGTGGTCAAGAGCATTTCCTGCTCTTCCAAAGGTCCTGAGTTCAATTCCCGGCAACAACATGGTGGCTCACAACCATCTGTAATGGGGTCTGGTGTTCTTTTCTGGCCTATAGGCACACATGTAGACAGAATATTATATACAAAATAATTGATGAATGAATGAATAAATGAATACTCTACCTTTGGGCCGTGCAGTGGTGGCTCACACCTTTAATCCCAGTACTCGGAAGGCAGAGGCAGGCAGATCTCTGTGAATTGGGGGCCAGCCTGATCTAAAAGTGAGTTCCAGGACACACAGACAGACCCTGTCTCAAAAAACAAAACAAAAAAAAGCTCTGCGTTTGATCAGACCATTACAACTCACAGTCCTTCAGTAAAAATCCCGTATTTAAATATTTTCCAGGAACATGGAAAACTAATATTTCAGATAAATATGTTGATCTTTGTGTTGATAAGTTATAGATCATCATTGAAAATATTTTCCTTTCTTGTACTGTACTTAATGGTTAAAACTGTTGTTTGTATTAATATGTTCTTTATCAGCTAAATACATTTTGTAATTAATGTTGTTTGTGATTTTCCATTAGAGTCTACTTAGATGTATCAGAAAGAACAAAAGAGGGTTAAGGAGATGGCTCAGTGGGTAGAGTATTTACTGCATCAGCCTGAGAAACTAAGTTCAGATCCCAGCACCCATAAACAGTAGTATGTTTCTGTTATCCCAGCCCCAGGAGATCGAAGGATCCTGGGGTGCTCACTGACCACCAGTCTAGGCTGTTGGGGAGCTTCAGATCTAATTGAGAAACGGTGTCTTGAAGAGTAAGGTAGAGAACATTAGAGATGCCCAGTGCCAACTTCGCCTTCACAAACTGAGCAGTTGTAATGCATACACATACATACCACATATACGGATATGTACAAGAACAAAAGCATTCATAATATGGAGGTTTTCTTTTAGGACTTCCCAAAGTTAGATTTAAATTCTTAAAGTTTGTACCCCAAATTAACTTTTAAAAATGGCTTATCAGGGTATCAGTAATACTCAGTACATACAGTGAAATCTCATTACACTGACTGAAGTTTTGTGCTTCTAAAGCTGCAGTGGAGAGTTGGGCTGTGGCTCTGTTACAGAGTGCTTGCCTAGCGTGCACAGTGCTGCAGTCTGTAATCAGAGCACTGGCCTCGAATGCCAGCGCAGAGGAAGGTCAAGGATGGCCTCCCACATTGTGAGTTGATGGCAAGTCTGGGACACTACCAAAGGGACTAGACAGGTGACTTTGAGCACTTGGGTATAAATCTTTTTACTGCATGAAAACCAGTACGTGAAAAACTTAATTTGGGATTATCTTGGTAAAGTGGAGGCAAGAAGATCAGGAGTTCAAGGTCGTCCTCAGCTATCTAATGAGTTTGACTACATGAGAATCAAGTCTATAAACTACAATGTGTACGACAATTCTTTGGGACCTTAGAAGAAACTGTTACAATTTCTACTTATTCTTTCATCTCCCACTTAAATCACCTGCATAGGTAGGAATACTGTGTAGACATAGAATGACAAGTGTTTGGGGACACCAGAGCTCCAACTTTGGTACTTAATACATTTAGCCTTTCCCCAGGTTTTTTCGAGACAGGGTTTCTCTGTGTAGCTTTGGAGCCTATCCTGGAACTAGCTCTTGTAGACCAGGCTGGCCTCAAAGTCACAGAGATCCGCCTGCCTCTGCCTCCGAAATACTGGGATCAAAGGCATGTGCCACTACCGCCCAGCAATCCCAGCATTCTAAAGGTAAAGGCAGAAAAATAAAGAATTCAGGATAATCCTTGGTAACACAGTAGTTAGAGGCCAAATTTGAGTTTATTTGTTGTTTGGAATTTGAGATATTAGCATATGTAATCTTGAACCAGGAAAGCACTTGCAGCATCTGCAGGGGTATCTGCTCTATGGGCGGATTCTATGTGATGTGTGCATTTTATCCTAGAACTGACTATAGGGACACAGTGTTTTCCGGGGAGGTCAAAGGTAGTTGACATGTTAAGAATTGATCGAGTGTTTAAGTCAGGATTCTATCTCTTGATAATGACCAGCTAGTTTAGCTAAGCCTAGTTTGAAGATCTTAAGTTGAACAGTTCTTTTTGAGTCTTAAACAAAACTGACTTGTAGATTTTTATCTGCCCCTCAAGAATTAGGCTTTTTTTTTTTTTTTTTTTTTTTTTGCTACTTCCTCAAAGTTGAAACTGTATTGAGTTTGAATGCTTTCCAACAGCCAAGGCTTCTCTTGATGTCCCTAGTTCATTTGACACTATGTCTGCTCTCTCCCTGTATCTCTGTTACAGATTAGACTTCTAGATCCCTCCCCACACCGACCAAAGCTTTTCCAAAGCTGAGAACATAGGAAACAAGTCAGCCCCATAGCACTTTGATAGTCGGGTTGGGAATGCGTAGCCGTCACTCAGACTTGAATCTGCTAGTTCTCCCTGTGACTTTAAAGTTCTCCTTTCAGCGTGGTTTTCGTGGCGTGCAGGTGACTGCCCCACATACTTTATCCCCTTGAGCTTTGTAGTTAAGCTTTTCCCTTATCTGAGCCACAGATCTCATCATTCCCTGGTGGTGTTTAACTGAGACTTTGAGCAAGTTAGCTAATCTCTGCTTGAGTTTCCGCTTCCTGTAAAATGATAAATCACTACCGCTGGGGCCAGAGTGATGTACACAGAGCCCAGAGTTGGGCCTGCTGTCAGTCACAGCGTGTGCTTCCTCTGTGATGTGGGGTGCCCTACAGACAGCAGGAGCGGGTGCCAGTGGGCGAGCTGCCCAGGGGGCAGTGTGAGCTCGCCTGTGTTCTTAGGAAGGAGTGCCTGTCATGTGTGCGTCCTAGTACTGCAGCTGCTTGCTTTGCTTGGCACTGAAACTGGAGAAGAATAAGATCAATGCTGACGCTAAGCAAATTTTCCCATAGTTGTTTGGGGTTTTTTGTGTTTGGATTTTTTTGTTTTTTAAGACAGGGTTTCTCTGTAACTTTATGGAGCCTGTCCCGGAACTCACTTTGTAGACCAGGCTGACCTCGAGCTCATAGAGATCTGCCTGCCTCTGTCTCTCGAGTGCTGGGATTAAAGGCCTCCGCCACCACTGCCTGACCCCACAGGTAAAATAAGATTAGGATATCTTAATGGATCTTCCTAAGCATAGGGTCTGTCAGAAGCAGATCTGTTTGTTTTCGGAGAGGTTTCCATCAGGCCTTTCTCCAGAGGTAGACTAGACGGTCAGCTGGTTTTTATTCCTGTGTTTGCTTGAACCCATTGAACACAGATTTGCAAGCCAGGAGGAACATGACTTCCACAGTGGGGGATCTATCTACACAAGACTGAGACCAGAACGTTTGCTCATTCCATGCAAACTGTAGAAATTGGCCTCACCATGCGTTAGTCTTTGACTTTACCAATACAGTCTTTCTTCTTACCTGTACAGGTTGAATGATCCCAAAATGTCTGAAGCAGAGCGCCAGTCCATGGAAAGCGAGCGTGCAGACCGCAGCCTGTTTGTCCAGGAGCTCCTTCTGTCTACATTAGTGCGTGAAGAGAGCTCGTCCTCAGATGAGGACGAGCGGGGGGAGATGGCAGATTTTGGTGCTATGGGCTGTGTAGATATTATGCCTTTAGATGTTGCTTTAGAAAACCTAAATTTAAAAGAGAGTAATAAAGGAAATGAGCCTCCACCACCTCCTCTTTGATGACCTCCCCACTCGCAGACAATGTCCTCTGTGCTGTATTTGCCAATGAAAGTGGACAACAGCTATCCTGGGTTTGTTTGGTGATTGTAATTTCAGGTCTGTCACTCTTGTTACATTGTGTACATTCAAAAGGAAGAAAGAAAATATATATGATAATCATTTCCACTTAACTAATTTTTACTTCTAGCAGGTAAATGTAGGTAGCAGTGCAGGGTGATCTCTGCTTCCTGTACCTTGACATGCAAAAGGCTCTCCTAATACTCCACATTCAAACTGAAGAGAAAAATTGAAATCTCTAATGAAGCTGCTGTGTGTATTTATGAATATTAATGAATAAAACTGCTTGGATGGTTTACCTAACTACTGCATGAGGTTTTTTGCAGCGTGCATGAGTTTCAGTGACCTTGTTATTTAAGAAAAATTAAATACAAGGAGTAAAACTTAAGAAATAAAATTTAAAAAAATAAAGTACAAAGCCCAAAGCTTTTCCAACATTATTCAGTGGTTACAGGGCAGAGTAGCTTTTGAATTTCTGCCTGACTCACCCTTATACATGTGCCTCCTACGGACAAAGCCAGCTCTGCAGTGAAACCTGGGGGTCCCAGCCAGGTGTGGCACTTGGCTGTGTGACTGTCCTGTTGCCTGTTAACCATCTTGTTCCTGCGGAGCCCAGCCTGTCTAGCTCGTCAGTAGAAGACAACAGTAAAGGCGGGTGTGCTGCAGGGCATCTCTGTGCCCTTTAAACAGATATCATTTGTGTTTGTTGGAAGTTTTTACTTTTTGTGGTTGTTTAAAATATTTTGATTGTTAAACATGTTCATTTAGGTGTAGATGAATTTCATTTATTGACTATTCAGCAAAGTTAACCTGAATTATGTTGTCATGTTTTTAAGAATCTCACATTCTCAATCATACTTTGCGTTATTTATGTATTTGTAGTTTGCTGAGACAGATCAGTATCAGGGGAGCCCTGAGGACTTGCCTTCCCAGGTTTTGTCAACCAAATTCTTAATCCTAATTTTAGCACCTTTTATTTATTGGTTTTTTTTTTTCTGGCATAAAAAGTAAAGCCTTTTAATTGAATCATGCCACCTATATGCCTATTATTAATCCTGTGTATAAAAAAAAAATAGAGCCTTCTTGGGTTGTTAGGCGGTTTGGAGAATGGGTGCTTTTAATTTCAGTTTTTCACACTAGCTCCAGAAAGGGACAGCGGGTCTGAGGATGGGGGCAGTTTTTGCAATGTAAATTTAGAACTTTTAAAAAAGGTGCACAGCTTCTGATAAATTTCTAACTATACTTAAGCTAATGGTGTCTGGCTCCAGTCCTCTTCCCTGGGAGCCTTCTTTCTGTTGCTCTCCTCTCTCCGCCATCTTGTCCTTCCCTCTCTGTTTCCTCATGACAAGCGTACAGACTTGAACCCTGGGTGTTCTCAAGAACTGTGACGTCCATGTTCATCCAAATGTACCACAAACCAGAAGTCACTCTACATGTCTAAGAAACCGTTGCTTCTCCTCGGACACTTGAGACTGCCGGCTGCACATCCAGTCTCAGGATGGGATGTTCAGAAGGGAAAGCCTTGTGCCAGGCTTCTGTTATACTAGGAGTCGGGTCTAGTAGGATTTTCTCTTCTCATTGGTTGCTGAGGAGCTTGAGAAGTCCGTTTCCCCGCTGTGGTCATTTCAGGAGCACCTGCACATCACTTACATTTCAATAAAGCGTTTTCAAGACTGTTGGCCACTTGATTTCTTTGGTGTTGAATTAAGCTAACCGTTATTCAGAGGTTTGGTTTTTTTTTTTTAACATCGAATGCAGTATTTTTTATTTTATTTATTTTATTTTTATTATTTTACTTTTTGTGCTAACCGTGGAGATTCTGGTTTGGGTGTGAGAAAGAGTAACTAACTGCTGGTTGTGTACTCGCCCTTTTCTGCACAAATTCTGGGAAAACCTAAAATCCTCCTTTTTTCAGCTTGGTTCTAGGGAACAGCTAAAAGGTTTTTAGGGGCAGTTTAATTTAGAAGGTGGATTTAACCCTTCAGAAGGCCTAGCAGTCTGTAAGGTTTCATCTCATGTAGAATATTGTATATTATTTTTGTCAGATATTTTCCAAATACCTCACCTCATCCTGTATATAAACAATCATAATGTATTATTTTAGGATAGAAAGACACAGATTATCAATATAAAATATATTTAAGCCCTTGGAATTCTCGTGTCCTTTTTCTTTAGTTCCTGAATCCTCATATTGTGGGATGTAGTACTTGACTAAACAGGTTGCATCATTCTGCAGGAAGGGACAGGATCCCGTTTTTGAGAGCTCTTTGCTGTGAGTTTGGAGATCCATGAGATAAATGTAGTCCTCCTACAATTTTTGACTTCACTTCCTGTTTGGAATTAATTCTGCTCAAGATGTCCAAGAAGGAGCTTAATTTTATGATTTGTAAAGGCCAAAAATATGTAGACTTCAGAGTGTGTCTGTCGTGTCCTTGTGCCTTTGTGTGGTTTGCAGGGTGGACTGCAGTGCACCTAGACTCCCACTTCACCCTGACCGCCTGAACCTTGTGAAGGGACCATGTGGGCAACCATTGGGAGTGTAGAACTTGGAGCATGGTGTTGACTCTTCTCATGGTTTCTGTTCTTTTTCTCATCGACTTTCCTAAAATTATTCAACTCTAAGGAGTAGAGGACAGGTAGAAATGGCTACAGCAGTGGAATCCAGTGTCTGTAGGTGGCTCTGCAGAAGATCCAATTCTGTGCTGGCTGCAGTGGAATCTAGCGTCTGTAGGTGGCATCACTATTTTGTTTCACTTTAATTTACAGGATTAGGACCTAGACTTGCTAAACTCAGGTGGTGGTTGGTTTGTTTTTGGATTAGTTGGGTGGTTTCATTTTGTTTCTTGGAATGCATCTTGTTCCCTTTTGTTTGGAGATAGGGTTAGATGTGACAAAGTAGCGGAGGACTTTGAGAGGCATTCTCTGTAGATCAGGCTGGCCTCAAACTCAGAGATCTACTTGCCTCTGTCTCCACCCCCTGAGTGTTGGGATTAAACCACACTGGCCAAAGTAATGGATTCTTCTGTAAGAAATACTCATGACCTCCAAATATAGTTTGGGATAGCCTGTGCCTTCTCAGCCCTTCATTTTCCCCTCTTGATATTTAAGTATGGCATTTTCATTAGCAGCTAATAGGTTTTTAAAGGTCACCAAGCCTCTTGGGTCTTCTGATGTGTGGAAAGAAGAGTTGAGTTCTCTGGCTAGGTCCTAGCTCATTCCCAGGAGAAAACTGGATATGACAGCAGAGTCCACTCTCTGCATTGTTCCTGCTGAGAAAGCAGACATCAGCCTTCATAGTCCTGCTTAAGGCAATAAAGAAGTGAAGGTAGATGGGGACTGGAGTGGCATAGATAGAAGAGGGTAAAAGGAGAAAGGGTTAGTGGTCATGTTGGAGATTGAAGCCTTGGGACTTTGGGAGTGGGATCCCTGCAGCAGCAGGGGCTCACTGTAAAGGTGTCACCTGTGATTGGCATCTGATGCAGGTGTTGAGCTCTGCAGCTCTGGTGTGCATTAAGGCATCCCTAGTATGATGGAGAGTATCAGCCCTAATAGTTCTCAAACATATCCACTCTGTGCAGGGAAAACAGTAGCGTTGTCAACTCATGCAACCTAACCATAGTTTGGGGGACACATTGGTCCCATATGCAGTTTCTTCCTGAAACTGTCCTCCAGATTGGTTTTAACGAAACAGTCCTGCCTGAGCCACCACATGCATCCACCTTGTTTTAGATTTTTGAGACAGCCTCCCAAAGTAAGCCAAGACTACACCCCCTTGCAAAAATCATTAATGCTTGCAGAAGTAATGGTTGTGCCTGGTCTCAGCCTCATGCTCCAAGATGGAACATGGGGGAATGTTAGCCAACTCAGAAACAGCCTTGTGTCCAGTTGAGTGGGGAAGTTAGGATAGAGTACAAGACTGCAGCCACACTCTGGTTAGGTGTGGCAGTGTGGAACTGGCGCTAAACAGCCCCATTAGGTCATGGCTTTTCTGTTGTGCTTTCAGAACAGTGTAAAAATCTAATTTCTTTTTTATGTTGGCCGCAGACATGATAAGTACCTTTCCGTCTTTGTCCTAAAACGTTGGTTCCTCCAGCTGACGTCCCTCCCCCGGTCCGTCCACAGCTTAGCAGTCACACTCTAAGGAATCCTTTTGCCAACAGATACTATGCTTCAGAGGCCAGCGAATCACTTCATTTGAGGCTAGCCTGGTCTACATAGTTCCAGGTAGGTCAGGGCCACATGGTGAGGCCCTATGTTAGGTGATGAAAATTTGTTAACAGTCTGCCTCCCAGAATGACCTCTGCACATGAGGTGTTTGGGTGGGTAGTGGTTCAATTGGTTTTCTTAACTACTGCAATGATTTGGTTGGAAGGATCCACTGAGTCTGGTTTTGTGCCCCAGTGGCTCCTGACTCTGCAGATGGTGGGCAAGTGTTTTATGAGCCTGTCTCATGCACATAATCTGAGGTTGCTTCCTGCAGGCCTGGGCGGTGGCTATTCTAAGAGATCCTTCTGGTCACAAGGAGCACCGTCTCCAGACTTTCCCTAGCAAGCAATGGCATGACTTCCCTGTGAACATGAGCCGCCCTTCCACGCCATCCGTACATGTCCTTGACAGCGGGGTGGGCCGGAGACACAGTGCAGTGTGCTGTCTACAGCAATGGGGACCTCTCTACTGGAGCCTTCACCCTAGTGGAAGTCAAGTTTGAGTTTTTATTTTGGTTGTTTGGTTTAGTTTTGGTTTTCCGGTGTTTTTTGTTTGGTTGGTTGCTTTTGCTTTTCCAAGCAGGGTTTCTCTGAACCCTGGCCTTCCTCGATAGACCAGGCTGGCCTCAACCGGGATACACCTGCCTCTGCTGGGATTAAAGACGTTCTACCACTCAGCTAAAGTCAAGACTCTTGACGTCAACACAGAAAAGTTCAGGACAAACCAGTATGAAGCAAAGTTGGAGTTTATTATACAGTTTAACAGATTTGTAGACTTGGAAAGAGCAGGGCACATGGCAGATACAGGTGTGAGACACCCAAGAAATCCCAGCGTTACTAAAGAATTTATCCCATTTTTTATATATGATAGTGATTCTAGAGGTGCCTTTGGTAGGATTATAGACTGGTAAAACCATAAGTCACAAGAGGGTTAAGACATGTCTTTTTTTTTTTTTTTAATACTTTTTCAAGACAGTTTCTTTTTGTTAGCCCTGGCTGTCCTGGAACTCGGAGCTCTGCCTCTCTCTGCCTTCTGACTGCTAGGATTAAAGGTGTGTGTCACCATTGCCCAGTTTATGATATGTCTTTTACTATAAA